CTTGGGGGGCGGAGGCAGGAGACTCGCTTGGGCCCAGGAGTTGGAGGTTGCTGTGAGCTGTAGTGCCATGGCGCTCTGCCCAGGGGGACAGCTTGAGGCTCTGTCTCGAAAAGAAAAAAAAAATTAAAACTTTGCTTTTTATATTACACAGATCTGAATAGGTCAAAGGAATTTCACATTGCCATTGGAGGAACTTTTAGGAAACATTATTCTGTAGTGGTCTGCCACTGTACTATATGCCCACAGTAAAATCTTTCCATGTCTACTGAGCACCTCCATGCCAGGGTATTGAGCAGATGAAAACATGGTCTCTGTCCTACCATGAGATATGTTTGAACTATTTCACAATGAATCAATGAACACTAAATCTGATTATACTATTTATAGCATACTAAGAATTTTATTTGTAAATATTGTTACCTCTGCATACACAACATCACTATTCAGTATGTTTTAAGTTTTTTAGCCATGCACTTCAAGTTTGTGAGCCTTTCAAAAATTTATGAATTTTACATTACCTAGAAGCATTACACTTTGTGATTTAACAGACCTTTCCCCCTCCCCTAAGATGGAGTTACTCATGTATTTACTTTTATCCAGATTTAAAATTAAGTTCTCTGACTGCCAAAGCACGAAACTAATATTTTATATGAAGATCCGTTGTCTCTAGAACTCATAATTAAATTTCCAGCTTTTGACGTCAACTTTAAATAAATCTGACAAAGATTTTTAGGTGGTTTTTCTCAAATACTAACAGAAATGTCCTCAAGACAGGAATTATATTCTTGAACCATTTTGTATTGAAGGGAAAGACTAACATTTTTATGACTGCTGAAAATGAGAAGCATAAATGAAAATTTTCAAATAGGTGTTTTTTTATAACCATGTTTAGAACAAATTTTAAAGTTGTTACATAAATTCTAAGGATGATTTCATCGAATAAACCATGATTTGTAATCACGCTTTGAAGTTTTTTTGCCATTCTAAACGTGTCACCTTTCATCTGGACTTTAGGTAGCTTTTATTAAAGCAACTTGCTCCACTTATTTTGCCTTAAAACCTTTTAAGTTTGTGATTACAAACCTTTGTTTTGCTCTTCTCAGAGTTCACATACCATTCCCTCACCTAGCCAGTACTACAATAATGCTATTATGGTGCCAAGGAATTGCAATTATAGTTCTTCTAACCTGTAATGTTTTAAAAATAAAATGTGAATTTTATAAACCAAATAAAGATTTGAAAAAATTAGACGGTTTAAAAAGGGCAACTTTCATTTCTAGCATTTTATACTTTTACTGCTTAACAATTTTAAGGGGAAAATAAAAAGTACTTGTGACAGTACAGACAGCATCTCACTTTAGGGCCCTCAGTAGAGTGCTGTGGTGTCACACAGCTCACACCAACTTCCAACTCCTGGGCTTAGGTGATTCTCTTGCATCAGACTCCTGAGTAGCGGGACTACAGGCGCCCACAACACCCGGCTATTTTTTGTTAGTTTGGCCAGGGACAGGTTTGAACCCACTACTCTTAGTATATGGGGCCCGGCACCTTACCCATTGAGCCACAGGTGCCGCCACACATGTGACTTTCACAAAAGATAAGTAGCTAGTTGAGAGACGTGGCTACCAGCATTAATATGAGTCAAGAGGCTCCAGGCAAGGAGTCCAAGGCCAGCCTGTGTTTAAGTAGCAAGACCCTGTTGATGTGTACTCAGTCTCAGTTTCTCTGGAGAATGAGGCAGAAGGATCACTTGAGCCCAGGAGCCTTGAATTGTAGTGAACTCTGATGATGCCAACTATACTCTTTGCCTGGGTAACAGACTGTCTCAAAAACCAAACCACCTTTTCTAACAGCAGAAAACACTCCCTAGGAGTCAGTTTTCTAAATCTTCAATTAGGTACTGTATATAGTATTTTCTACCAATTTGATACATAATCAGTAGCCGACACAAAGCATTCTAGGACAGACGCCATACCATTATCTCCCACATTGACATTTATTACATTAATAACATTTCTAGCAAAAACAAGTAACAAGTTCAATAACTGAATTCACATTGACAGGTTTCATTTTGATCCATTAGCCAATTTGGAAAAAACCATATTGATCAAAGGGATTAAAATTAAAAAGCACCTTTTCCTTGCTACATAGTATTTTTAACTAAAACTCCAAGCAGGTATCAGCTGCAAAAACCCAACTGCAGACTTGTTTTAATTGAGTATAACATGGACTTGTCTCATATTTTTAAGTAGTCATTTACACATTTTTAAAAACCATATGCTCTATTGAGCAGAAAACTGAAAATACATCTGTAAAAATTATGTTCCATAGTAAATACCTATGTACTTATTATACTAAATTCTCATATCACTGAGAACCTTAACTTACTCTAAGACATCTCGAGATAACTTACCACTCTCAATTTTTTGGAAACATTTTTGGTACTTCGGTCTAGTGCTGAGGGAATTTTACTCCAAGATCTAGGGTTAGAATTTAGAAATTTCAATGCTCTCATCCCCATGTAACACAATTGTAATTATTCAGAAATCCAGAGCTATGCCTGATAAGTTACATTTGAAAAAGAATAATATGGAATTAAGTAGCTGAATTTATACTCCTGAAGCTACATCTTTAGGCTTTATATTTACAGTATTGTCCAGGAAAATTAACAAAAAGTTACACTAATTATTTGTGAAGCTCTATTCCAGACATCTGCTTATTAAGACTTGCAGTTTACACAGAGGTGAACCATTATCCTCTAAAATTATACCATCCTACTTCTTATAGAGCTAATAGTAAAATACACCAACCCAAATCTTGTGAAGGCAGCACATCTTTAAGAGTAACTAGTATATAAAAAGTATCAACATCAGTGGTTTGAATATAAAAATTTATTTTTAAGTCAAAGTATGCAACAAATAAAACCTACAGAAAACAGATTTCCCCATCACAATCTGTTGCTTTACCAAATAATATTTTGAAAACACATTCCTTCAGTCATTATAAAGTTCTTAAAATACAAAAGAAATTAAATCTGTAAGAAAGTCTAGTAGACCAGATGCTGTTGTCAGGACTTGTATGTTGATGCTTATGCTTTCAGTACATCCCACGCCATCCACCTCCACTCATGCCACCTTGTCCATAGTAACCTCCACTGCCTCCACCACCACGACCTTAAGAAAAAATGACATTAAGAATCACTTAGCATGAGACATTCATGAGTAAGATATTAAAAGTAACAGCATTTTTAATTATACTACTTATGGGGACCAACAGACCCAACTAGAAATACTTACCATAACCACCTAAGCCATCAGGAGTACCATATCCTCCACTGTAATTGTTCCCCATTCCCATTCTTCCAACAGATCCGTAACCACCCTGATTATCTTTAAAAAAAAAAAAAAAAAGAAAAAGAAAAAAATAGTCTGAGATAGATTGCTAAGGAACTAACTCCACTTCTCTTCAAAACATTACATACCCATTCCATCTCTGCCATAGCCTCCCATTCCAGAACCTCCCATTCCAGAGCTGCCTCCAGGAGTAGAATTCAAGAAGAGTTCGATGTATCGATGTTCTGTAAGAAAAAAAAAATTAAGGGTAATAGGGGAGAATAATGGATCATAATTTATCAATAAAAGCTTTAAAAAGGTTGGTCAGCTAATTATTAAAGTGTTTATCAATTCCTAAGCCCATAGGAAGCCATTATAATCCTATCTTTTAGGCTAGGCTTATACCTGTAATCCCAGCACTCTGGGAGGCAGAGGTGGGTAGATTGCTTGAGTTCACAGTTCCAGACCAGCCCAAGCAAAAGGGAGACCCTGTCTCTACTAAAAATAGAAAAACTGAGGCAAGAAGATCACTTGAACGCTAGAGATTGAGGTTACTGTGAGCTATGACGCCATGGCACTCTAGCCAGGGCGACAGCTTGAGACTGTCTCCAAAAAAAAAAAAAAAAAAATCTTTTTATACAAGTCAAATAACTGCCAAGAGATCCTAGGGCTTCTTGTATTTAACAAATGAGAAAATTTATTCTATATACAAGTTCACATCTGGGAAATGATAGCATGTCAAAGATACCACTTACGCATGTTATTTTTATCTTTAGACATGGCAGCTACTGCATCTTCATGTGTCACAAACTCTACATCTGCTTCTCCTGTTGCTCTGCCATCAGCTCCAATATCAATATGAACTCGTATTGGATTTAGTGGTGAGAAGAACTAAATAAAAGAAAACACTTGTTATTTCTTTTCTATCCAGATTATTGCAAAGAATTTACCATTTAAAAAATAAGGTAGGGCTCGGTGCCTATAGCTCAACCGGCTAAGGCGCCAGCCACGTACACCTAAGGTGGCAGGTACGAATCCCCAGCCCGGACCCGCCAAACAACAATGATGGCTGCAACCAAAAAATAGCCGGGCGTTGTGGCGGGCGCCTGTGGTCCCAGCTACTTGGG